ACACAATCTGCTGGTTTCTAGATTATTCTTTTTATGTACAGTGCCCTGAGACAACGCATGTTGTGACTTGGCGCTATATAAACTGAACTTGAACTTATTTGAACTTTTCTTGCTGAAGCAGCCGAAGTGATAAAGTCAAACATGTTTCATCATCACCGGATCTAATCCAGAGCGTCTCTGGAGCGGACTGCTCTGTTTAAACAACCAAAGATATGTAACGATAAGATTGTTTGACACTCAGCAGACTTTAGATTCCTTGCAGTTTAGTTTTTTTTTTTAACCTAACAGACATCCTGATCTGGTTTGATAAACATTGATGTGAGCCAGCCACACGTCTTCCTGTCAGGACAGCAGTCTTATCACTCGTGCATCCTGGGATTACTCTGATTAGAAGACATGGAGGAAATGTGTCTGTGCAGTTCTTGTTTTGATTTCAAGATGCTTCACACAGACTTGAATTCAGAACCGGACCTGACATGAACTTAGAGATGCAGAGCATAAACTCCTGTTATAATTTTTTCGCATCAAAAATTCACTTTTAGCAGCAAAAATAAAGCTGCTTGTGTAACAAGCTCCTGCCAGATCTGGGCCAAATACAGGCGAGCGTGGGAGCATTTGAGAATATTGTAAATAAGATGGGAGCTATAACGGTTGCTAGGTTACAACATAAGCCCACAAGATCGGTTTCCGATGAAGAGGAGATGCAGACAGGGTTATAAACTCACATCCTCCTCAAAAACCTCTGCCGACACCAAAACTTCTACAGAACCCAAAAAAAAAAAAAAAGTCTGCAAAAAAAAAAAAAAAAAAAGTCTGCAGGAGCTGTGAGGGAGTCACACCGCAGTCCCACTGTTCACCCAACGAGAGGAGCCGAAATCAGCTGAGGTTCAGCCAGCAGTTAATGGAAAACCATTGTGTGTCTTCTTATGATTTGAGTGTGTGTGCTTTTAACTGGAATAAACAGCAGAGAATAAAAGCAGACAAACGTGACATGCCAAGATCATCTGCATTTCAAACAAGCTGTTTTTATTAAGTTTTATGACATTTTGAGTCATTTTAAAATATCATTAAAAGACGTAAGATGGCAGGAATTACATCGGTTAGGTTCTCACCAGGTTAAAAAAATAAATGTGCTTTCAATTAAATTAACTGAAAAGTTCAAGTTTGACATTAAACTAGCGGACCACAGGTAGAACAAACATGCTTTGAATGTGGACAAATCTACATGACTGCATGTGAATATGCAGGAATTTGTCAGTAGTTTCAAAATAAAAGTCCTACGAAGTGCACTTTCTTTTCCAAACAGGCAGTCGTGTTTAGGTTCTCCCTTTTTACACCTTAAAGAGTAACTTACCCCCAAATTAACTTTTTTTAGCTGATAAACTGTCTAGAATGTGTCTAAAATGTTATATAGTACTTTTTCTGTGCTAATTTTGATGTTTTTGTGCGTATTTGATCAAATCTGTAGTATTTGGTCTAAAAACGTCTTTTTGCTGCTCATATGGGTAGAGCAGTGGTACTGCAGGCTAATTTGCATATTGGTTAACGGCTCTCCACGTTGACCCCCCCCCCCCCCCCCCCCCCCCGGCGGGTGGGAGTTGTATGGACTTTTTTTCAAAATTTATGGATTTTTTGGGCTCTTTATACAGGTAAATGTCCAAAGAGGTTGAAATGTATGCGAACCGGACCGAACTTCGGTCAAAC